AAATCGTAAATATGAATCCCTTATTCCCTAATAAAAAGCAGTGATATATGGAAAAAGCTATTTATTCCGATAATTATTTACGATGCAGACGCCCTCATACGATCTAGGAAGTGGCGCATGATTAAATTGTGTATCGCAATAAAACCGCGAGTAGTATAATGTACGATAATGATGTACCGCATTCTTTCGAATATTGCACAAACAAAATTACTCTATCAACGTCGACGTCAACTTTAATTGCACACACAATCTAAAAAAAGTAGAAATAGATTATGAACTAATTACGACACATGTGTACAGTATTACGATAGGTATTACATTTATCGTATAAGATTGTTAGAGTCGCTGATTTTCTATTTTCAGCAGCAAACTACCGTTATATAGTTTTCCTTATTTGGAGAGATCAATTCGTCTCTATTGTAGATCGTGATATTCGCGTGTAATCATCCCATCCTTCCCACTTCCGCTTATTTTACATTACATCTCGGTATGTCAAAACGCATCACAGATGTGTAAAAAATTGTGCGGGTCCTCACAGTATTAAATAAAAAAAAAAATCTAACATTTCCTGCACATCTATCCTTGTCAGTAATGAGAAGCAAAAAGTAATATACGTTAGGCATTACAACCAAGAAAACAGGATGCCCTAACATGGGCGCGAATTCTTTCTCCAGCGAATTCGTTTAAAGAAGTCTCGGGTTCGTTTATTATAAGACTTGGCCGTTTTCGTCTTCAATCCTACCGCGCATAAATAACCAGAACGTGGCGTATAAATATACCGTAGGTAGGCGAAGTCTTATGGAGTTCAGATTATATCGGCCCAGCATTATTCGCTGCTTAATGCGCGCGCTGAATGATGCCGCTCGTTTGCTCACTCTACCCGACTGTCCAATTGCCCACTCGGTTGTACGGTTGCCGTTTAAAGTCCGCGTATAATGTATCTCCTCTCCATCGTCGAGGAGCTAGCAGGAATCCGTCCGTGGACAGGCGACACCAACGGTATCCCCTGCCCACAACCGCGAACGTCGTTCCGCTCGACGACGTCGGCGTCCAACGACGTCGTCGTGCTTGCTTAGCTACCGAGAAGACAAGTGGTACACCCTACATACAATACATTTGTATACCCCGCGACGTTTGTATGCTCGGCTGCTAACAATCCGAGGGTTGACTGAAGTGATGCAGTGCGCATTGTTTCGTGAAAATATCGCTGGAGATGTATGTTTCATTGCTTAGCTTCCTTAAAAATTAAGGATAAAGAATTTGTTTGTAGTTTGTTAATATAAATATGTAACATGTGATTTTTTTCATTGTAAGTAACGACGTAATTACACTTTAATTAACTCTTTATAAATAAAATACTTGGTCACAAGGCGAATTCAGATCATGAAAGTAGACCGCGATCTAATAAATGCAGCGCTTTAGACCGCACAGTTTAATAACCATTCTCGCATATAGAAAACAAATAAATATAAAATTATATATTGCAAATAATATCTGTAAAATAATGTAATCATTTCAGTCATCTCTCAACTTTGTATTATGTATATTTTGTATAGAAAATAACGGCATTTATCAGAAGTACTAATTCTCGTTAAGTAAATACTAATGATAAATAACAATTTATTATATAATAATAATTTACCGCAATATATTGATAGATATCCGTTACGCATAAAATTATGATATGCTGCAGATATTATTAGAAATAAAAAAATTTATAATAGAAAAAGTATTTCTGAAAATATACTTTAAATACTTTAAATAAAAGATTATGATAGATATGTAAGTACAAATTAACTATACGATCTCGCTAATCCGACACTTTGATAATCCAGCACGTCCGATAAACCGGTACTATCGCAGGTTTCCGTGGGCTCTTGAACGAGAGCGGGTTTAACGCTTGCACGTATTATCACCAACACAGCATTGTTTATGTTTCTGTGAAAATACATCGCCGCTTTTGTAGTTTTATTTTGTTTGTTATAAATTTAGGGCACGTATTATGGAACTTTTCAGAGTGGATTCCGATCAAAATTATTACGTTTCCCCTATAAAAAGAACACATAGAAGTCTAGAAAATAAGTAAACAATTCCGATCAAAATTCATTCCAAAAAGTTCCGTAACACATGCCTTGAACAGTTTTAAAATGCTCAATTATTTTATTTATCTCCTATATTCGTTCTAGCAGTCCAGCAATTCATTAATCCGGCACAACCTGTTTTTAATAGTGCCGGATTAGCGAGATTGTACTGCAATTATAATTTAATCTCCAGTCAATGATATTTATCCCAGTAAAATATAAAAAATGAGTCTTTATTCGACTTTTATTAATTCTTTAAACTTCTTTACAGTGACTTAAGTATAGGAATGCTGATTATAGCATGGATTAATTAAATCAATTATTGATTTAAGTATGTGAATTTATTTTCCAGCAAAACTAGAGCTATGTCAATCAATATATTACGGTAAATTATTATTTCAGGGCCAAAAAATTTTCAGCGCGCAGTTTACTGAGTTGGAATAAGTATTAAAAATTCACACAGTAATATTATTATCGACACGAACATTCTGTCACAGCTCTAAGCTTTTTGTTAGTTATGTTAGGTGATTTTAAATCGTACGAACCTTCTTGTATTATTATTAAAATCTACAAATCTTTTTTTATTTTTTTTTTTTTTACATTATCTTCTATTTCTACATTTTTTAACTATTTTTGGCTCTATTAACCCTTAAATGCCATACCTCTCAAGAATCTCGTAAATGACACATGGGGTCTAAAAAACCCCAGCATGAAAAATGTCTCCTTACTCATTGATTTTTTGATATTTAGTCATGAAAATTATTTTCAATGTTGTTCAAGGCTTAGAAAAGAGAATAAAATGCTTATATTGTTAAAATTTCAATTTCAACATAGTATAAAAAATTAAGTAAACTGAGTACTGCTAAGTGTACAACCGGGTAGGTCAATCACTCAACTATCATCAATGGGAGCATGAGCTCCATTTTTGGGGGGAACATTTGAAAATATATCATTGTAAAGAGTCTGAGGTCCGCTGGACCCCGGGTGGCATTTAAGGATTAATATTCAGAACGGTTCTGTCTTCAAATTAGTAAAACATCCTCTGTAAGAGTAGTTTTTAGTTGCTACGGCAACCATTACAAAAATTTAATACTGCATGGTAGGTAGTGATTAATTATTAAAAGCATTGTTGTTAAGTGCTTTTAATACTCAAAATAAGTAATTAATCACTACCAGTATTAAATTTCTATAAGAAAAGACTGTAAAAATAATAAAAGATATCACTAATTAGAGAAGTGTCGAGCTGCAACCACCATACATTGACCCTCGATTCAACTTTCCCATCGGCAAACAACATAGGATTCATCTCGAGATCTTAACAGTATCGTATATAAGATATGAATATGTAATGTATAAAAAGATCGTCAGTGAGCTCGGACCTATGATTCACTAACCCCAAATGACTAATCAATCATCTTCCTGTAGCTTATAATACATTTTTTTATGATCATAAAAGAAAGGCCAACTTGTAATATTATTTTAAAATGTTAACAGTGCCACCTTGTAAAATCTTTTCGCACACGTACAGTTCGCCGACAAGCAGAAATGAAATTTCCTTCATCGACTGTAGATATCCAGACTTCAACCGAGTCGATCAAGAAAGCCTTACCGAAGGTATGCTTGATAATTTACACTTAACTTTTTTCGTACGCTATAGCCAAACTAAGATATAATTTCTGTAATTTTTGTTAGCCTTTATTAATTTATTCATTTGTTCACACTTATGTTCACTAATTTACTTCCCATATGCATGAACAACATATCTTTTCTGACTTCATTTATTTATAAAATAGGTAAAATATTTGGCAATGAAAAAATTGATTCAAATAGAAATAACAGAAAATAAATTGTTTGCATTTATTGCAATTAAATTTTTTCCCGACTTATTAAGATTACAACAAAAAAAAAAGACACTCTCTCTTATTAATTTATTTCATTAAATAGATAAGATACCCGGCATAAATATCTGTATTTTAATATAGTGCGCTTCCTTTTGAACATATTTCTTTAAATATAGAATTATATAGAATATCGTTACTGGAATATTGCGGAGTAGTCGCTACGACACGGTTCTCAGAACGGATGAAGCCAAACGTATATAGGACGGTTCAGATCCAAATTTAGATCAGTGTATGGTAGGACAACATCGAACACGAAACTTCGAATGCAGTTTCTTGATCCATTGGTTTTGCCTCTACTATACCGTTGAAATTTTGAGAAGTTTCTATCGAACAGAGATCTTAGTTTATACCGATTAAAAGAGACATCACTACATCGAAACGATGAGAAAATACAGTTATTGATTCATAAACATTGAGGTAAAACTAATAGAATTAGTATATGTAATATAGTATATTCTGTTAGTATAGACTAATACAATTCGATTCTGATGTCAAAATTAATCCGCGCGCGTTAAAGTTTATAATATCTATAAGAAATTTTAATTAAATCACGATCGATCATATATTTTCAAAAATTCTAGATTAAAATTGGAATTATTAAATAGTTGTAAATAAGTGATTTAAGAAGAAACTTAAATCTTAATTAAAATCTACATTTAATATCTACATTTTGCTACTCAATGTCAATATTGATAAATGCTGCCTTCTGATATTTATTGCCAGCAACTGTCAGCACTGAAAATCTATAGTATACGTGACGTAAAACATAGAAAAATATAGATTTTTAGTACTGACAGTGAATATTGGAATGCAGCCAAAGTGTATAGCGTTATGTAGACAAAAAAGAAAAAACTATTGACAATTGCTAAAGTTTAAAAAAACTAAAGAAATAAAGAATTAATGTATGCCATCTAAAGAGAGAAAAAAAAACAGGAATTACCTGCATACGATAAGTAATCCACAATTAATCCGTCCTATTTCTACATTTCTACAGCATTTATACGTTAATTATTCACAGTATTGCAGTACGAAGCCGCGTGGCGTACAGATAGGTACACACGAATATTTAACACCGCGTTGTATAAATATATTTATATTTTTTTAATTAATACGCGCGCAACATGTATCTCGCACGGAATAAATTCACCACTGCAGTGTTTTACAGATTATCAATTAAAATGGATCCGCGACAACGTCTGTTTTCGATTGCATTAATTTTATTAGTACTACTAGCAACACGCATCCATGGCATCCCGCGACCAATCAAAATCGGTAAGCAGTATATGGTCATCCATGAAAACAAATTCAAATAAAATATTGCCTATATGTGGAAATGTTGCTTATGTTCAAAAGAATCATTTAACAATACACGGAGAGAATTTTCTCTAAAAATTTACCTTGAAATCATGATAATTGTAGGACATGTACCACCAAGAATTTTATGCGAGCTATTCTGATTAATATATCCACCATAATAAAAAATATTAATATCTATTACATTGAAATATAAAATATGTTTGATTAATTTTACTAAAATATATCTAGGAAATTTCAAAATTTATCAATCTGCTTGGTAATTTTTATCACGTTGTTTGTAAAATGTATATTTTAAAAATTCCTTGGTTGCTAAGTTGTCCCAAGTTTATAGTGAATTTAATGGTAAAATTAACAAAAAATTATCTCCGTGTAGAATTAGAGTAAGCGGAGATTGAAATAATCTAGTTCACTAACGCCATATAAATGTAAAAAGTATTTTGATATAATATTCTATTTAGCGATTGTCATATATTGAGATTAAGCAACACTCGAATCTATAAATCGATTGTTTTTCTCTCTTCATCTTTACGACAAATTATTGCTTTCTAAGAAATATTATATGTATAAAACTATAAAGTATTATATTTCAAAATAAAACGGAAAAAGTGTGTCTATCATAAAAATGTGGAAGTTAAAAAAAATGTAATGGAATAATCTTAGGGTTAAAGTTTTTAATTCAGTGATGAATTTGCGCGTGATGATACAAATATATGCTCAGAAAGTCACGCAAGAGAAATATTTTTAACGATGTTCACATGCGCTTGTTAATATTGATCCAACACACGTAATATTGCGAATTGATGCGTAGTTATCAGCCACTATTCAAGTGAATATATTTATCTAATAATCATTCGCAGATATAATTATAATTAAAAAATTAATTGTATAGTTATATTAATTTTAAATATATTGAATACAAGTCTATTCTTTAATTAAGTATATTTGTAAATCGGATTTCTCATCACAATTACATGTTATGTTTCATTTTATTTTATTTTATTTATTTAAAAAGTACCTAATTTTTATTTCTCGTACTTCAAAATTAGTCTTGTGTTTACTATAATCATATATACCTCTAATCTTTCTATTGTATTCTAACACATTACACATTAATTAATCTAAATCTAACGATGTCAGATTTTTTTCTATTAATATATTTATCAATGTATTTTTAGGAGCAATCTTTCATAAAGGCGATGAGGATCTAATGTCTACGTTCCAAAAAGCAGTCTTTGAAACAAAATATGAACATCTCGCACCCGCATTCGAGCTTATCCCTGTCCTTAAGTATGTCGAGGTTAATACCGATAGCTTTAGAACTGCTGAAGCTGGTGAGTACTACGGAAACCAATAATTTCGAGTTATAACGATTAAGCTATCTCGATCAAGTTTGTTTTTTAATAGTTTTAAATATGCAATATTTTCCTACACAGTATGCTTATTCTAATTCAATTCCAAGAATAGAAATTTAAAAATTTTATTAGAGTAGCTTTCAGTTATGTAATATAACTGAAATATCAAATTATCGTGTTCAGACATGACTAAAAATAAGTACCTATAATAAAAAAAAGAAATAAAAACGTTATGCAAATTGATACAAAACTATCTATGAAGAAGTCTTTACGCTGCATATTTATTCCAATCTTAAATATACATTTGTTGATTAACTTATCAGAGATTATATTTACATAGCATGCGAGCTTCTTCAGGAAGGTGTGGCAGCCATTTTCGGGCCTGCAAGCCGGCACACTCGTGGTATAGTTGCGAGCATTGCTGAGCGATTTAATATACCGCATATCGAATACGTCTGGCGGGAAAGTGAGGGATCAGAAGAGGAATACGAGAGAAAAAAGGCTTCAATGACCATAAATGTGTTCCCTGCCAGTGAGAAAGTCAGCGAGGTTAGCCGTTATACAAAACAAGTATTTTCGCAGTCAGAAATCAATTTTGTAGACACACTACGTCAAGTCTAAATCGTAGGATTTTGAAAAAGCTATTTAACAGCGCGAGTAATAATTCAATTCGTTTATATAGCAATTTCAAATTCAGCGCATACCGAATTGAAGATAGTCTACGATTCTGAGATACAATATTAAAATATGATTATGATATCACAATGCATTTAAAAATGCAATTATTTTTTTAATGTATTCTTGATTGACAAGACAAAACTGTACAGGCTATCGCCGATATCATCGATTCAATGAAATGGCGAAACTTCGTAGCGATTTACGAAAACGACGAGGGATTGTCGCACCTCCAGAAGACTTTGACACTAAAGGGAGACAAGAATAATCCGCTTACACATACGATACGACAGCTGAGCGAAGGAACGGATTATCGTTCAATGCTCAAAGAAATACACTCTTTGGCGGTCTCCAATATAATTATTGATGTCCAGCCACAGAACATCATACGAGTTCTTAATCAAGCGAAGGAAGTCAGACTGCTGGCTGATTATTACCAATTTGTCATAACATATTTGGTACTGTATATTACTTGCTTAATTTCTCGACAACAAAACCGTACTTTCGAACGCGACTTATTTCACAGGCCTGAAAAGATTGTTTAATGAACTATAAACTAAATTCTTTAAAGACTATATATTAGATATAATTAAAAAAATTAAACAGAATAGAGATAAAGTTGTATACCTATTATTCTTGAGTTTTTCAGATTACCAGAAAACAAATACCATAAACAATTTTTTAAAATAATTTTAAAATAATGTTTTCATTGAAATTATAGGATTCATACAAGCTACCTATTCTCGACGTGCGAAATGGTACCGTCAATATCACCGGACTCAGCTTGAGGGAAAATGACGTAGATGGAATTGAATGGGTAAGCAAGCGAGCGCGAATAAACACAAATAAACTACAAATAAACAATTTGCTTCAATGATGTCGAACAGTGCCGTTTAATTAGGTAAAACATTATAATAAAAAGGAAATATTATTTTCTTATAAATATAAACGAGTATATCCAAAGAAAAAATATGTCTGTGCAATCACGCAAATACTTAAGAAAAGAATGCCTTCACCTATTTCAGCATATCAATCGTCTGCATTTTCACTAAATTCAAACTAAATTAGGTAGTAGATGTTTTATATTAAGAATGCAAAATAAAAGATTTATAATATATAGAATTGAATTAACTATACTCGTACTTGATATATACGCTATTTTATAGCTAGATTCAGCAATTCTCTATGACGCAGTATTTTTGCTGAATACAGCACTAGAGGTCCTGAATGCGAGAATGGATAAAGAGGGATATATTGATCCTATATCACTCTCTTGTATATCCAATAATACTGAAAAGTATAAAGCAGGATGTGATATTATCGGCATTATGAAAGAGGTAAGTTCTTTCTCTTATCATATTGCTTCCTCATAGAGGAAGCTTTGTTTTCGTGATTTTCGTATATGAACCTTTGATTGTGTATAAAGTTGGATCTAGTCAACCAAATTTAAAAAAAATATATATGAAATAGGGGTAGAAGAAACCAACGAAGAGATTGGTTTTTGAGTTTTTTTCTGCCAATATGTTCAGATTGTTGTAAAACGTTGAAATATCGCCTAAAAAAAATGTCCGTATGTGTGTGTGTGTGTGTGTATGTGCACATTTGATGTTGTGGTTGCTCTAACTTCCGCACATATTGAGATATCGGGCTGTTTTTTTTTTT